TCAAGCCAATGATATCGCAAATTTACTAATCTAAGTTTAGATATACAATACACTTGAAATAATAAACATAATTTATAAAATGGAAAAAATTGTTTAAATAAAAAGAGATTATAATGACTATCTGAACGTGATGGAAAATGGATTCTCTCCATATTTTTACAGAATATGATACTTCAATTCTATTAGGACATGAAGTCCAAATAGCTTGAATTCATAAAAAATTCTGAATATAATGAGATATTGTCATATTCAAAAGTTTCTTTTCATGAGTATACATTCTTTTAATACTCTTGCGACTTTATCTCGACTAGGAATGTTCACTATAAGCACTTTTCCCTTTTACCTCTAAAGACTTAAAATCATTTTAAAATTATAACTATCAAGATTTTTTTAACGAAAAATAACGTTCTGCAATGTTTTTGTAAAAAATTGTGAAGCCTACATTATCCATTTATTAGTGGTCTGAATATAGAACATTGACAAAATTTACATTTAATTATGTCCCGGCAAAAATATAATTATTCAAGCTTATTTTCTCAAAATAAAAAAATAGCACTTTAAGAATTAGAACACACACAAAATTTGTTATTTAAAAAACTACTTTAAATCACGTTAAATTTGGCATTAAAAATAATGCGAAAGGACTTTTATATAAAACCTCGTAAACATCAATTGTCAACAAAAAGGTCACACCAGACGTGACAGCAACTGTTTTCACAACTTTAGTCATCTCTCTCTAAGAACAAATTAGTAAAAAAATCTTTTAAGAAATGATATTAAGCTTCGTCAACTGGGATCTTTAAAAAAACACTATTTTAATTGTAAATTTTGGATAAATTTAAATCTGTAAAAAATAAATAAAATATAATCTAACTTTTATGATGATAAAAACTCGTTGTTGAAATTCTGACAAGTATACCAGAATTTTTTCAAATTTTTATATATAAGATAGAATACTGAAAAATTTCGAAGACTTTTTATTACTGATAGAAGAATTAAAATTCATGTTAATTATAATAGATTTTTAAGTATGGTCCAAATTATCACTTTTTCTTCTACTAGTAACAGTTGTTCTGTTGCGCTTCGTGCGGAGACGAAAAGAGGGACATGAGATATATGCACCATTGTTTGCCAACCATTCAGCAATTAAATTACTCTTGGCCTGTGCCGAGAACAGAAAGTAAGAGAAGAAAAAGATTCACGCGCCGCGCTGCACCGCGACGCGCCGCGTCGCGTCGTGTCGTTGGATACTTGCTCGGCTCCATTTGCGAAATTAGAGATCTATTCGTCCACGAGAGATGGCAATCGCTCTTGGGGAGCAAAGGTGACGTGGCACAATGGTGACGCGTCAATCTCTTACCCTCTGCTTGCCCACCTTCCCTTCAGAAGCCACCTTCATTCTCCTTTTTTGACCTCCCATCCGTTTCTTCTATCCTGTGTGGACCTGTTCTACTTTCTTTTCCCATCTTTTCTCATTTGTGTGAGAATTCATCACCGAAACTCGCGTTAATGTTGGTCAGAACTTTGGTCCATTGAATTTTCGTTCCTTTTTTTTGTTTACACGGGAAATCCTAAATCGATAAAAAAGATGACCTTTCATCTAACAAACTTATTCAATTAATACGAAAAATACCAGAATACTACTGTAATCGAATGAGCGATGTAGGCCGTTGCATATCTTTAGTCAGACAGTAGAAGAAAAAGTTTGAACACAGAAGTGGTTATTCCGTGTCCACGTATTATCATTGTGTATCGGGAGACGATTTTGGTACGCGAGAAAAAACATGGCGTCTATTTTTCTCTCTTGATCGCGCGTATGCGCTTCCGAGTTTCTTTCCGATCTCGAGAGATGCTTACTTAGAATAATCCGTGATCTTTTATTGATTGTAGCCGTGTCGTGAAGGGATGCGACAGGATGGGACAGGATTGTGGACCGGGTCAATAACCACTCCTCGTCAAATTTTTCAGCAAAGTAATTTTATTTTTCTCAAGTCTCTCCTCCAAATTCTCTCTTTCTTCCATTAACTCAAGATATACACAAGACCGTCGTTTCGCTCTTCGCCTCGTCGAGCTCGCGACGTTATTTACAGGACACCGTTGCCAACCGTCCGGCGAGGTGCGTAATAAATAACGGTAATAATAATAATAGACTAATAATAATCGTAATAATCGTAATAGTACTAAAGACGGCGACAATAATAGTGGTGTCCCTTATTCGCAGTTATAATGATAATGCTAATTTACAAATCGGGAAATCAAGCTCTCTCTTTTTTCGCGATGCTCTGATGGATTCTCGCGGGTATCCTCTTTTTCCTTTTTATAATATCTATATTCTTTATAATATCTATATATATATATCCTGTCTATATATCGTTTCTCGGTAGGTACTATTTACAAAATTTACGGGTCTAATCTCTAATCTATTTACAACCATAGAGTGCGCCCGGCCGCCGTGCCTGCACAACCGTCGAATAAGGCCCCGCGCGTCTGCCCTGTTTTCCTTCGCGTCACGCTTTCTCGTTTTCCTTTCTCTTACACGTCAAGCGTTCCTCCGATTTGTTAGTTTGTTAGGGGTTGCGCGGGCACGGCTCCGAAGTAACAAAATAAATACTGACTAGCCCGTCCTGGCGTCTCCGCGTCGAGCGGCGGCAACGAACGAACGAATGAACGAACAAACGGACACCCATTGATGAGTGAAAGCTCACGTGACTCGAACATTGAAAATTGACAAAGTAATCAATAATAAATCAATAGAAGTTTCTCCTCTGTACGCGAGAATAATTTATACGAGAACGGTTTCCTCTGCGAGAGATTTGGATGCATCGATAAATGACGAGAATAAATGCTTATTTCTGTTATCGTGTGTATAAAGTAGTGTATTGTACTTCTTTCTTTCAGGAATAAGCATTCGAACAATTATCACGATTGTCTTCAAGTATTTTAATATCTTCTTCTGACATTCGGATTACAAGACGCTTTCCTTTAGCAATTAGTCATCGTATAATTATGTAATAGTGAATCCATTTTTTAAGCATAGTGCATATAGAATAGCTTTTCTTTTCTAACTACCATTTCTCTAGAAATGTGAAAAAACTAGCTACAATCTTTTCGAGGCCAGTGAGGAAGCATCGTGTGATCTGAATTTCTCAGAACTTTCTCAGCTAAGAGCCCAAAACTAACGTTAATAAATAGCGTTAAGCTAAATTAATCAGTATTCAAATAACTTAAACTGTTAGCATTTTCATTTCTAGCATTTACTAGAAATCTGTATAAAAATTGAATGTGCAAATACTGACCGTTATGCTTATCGCAATTTATTAAAGCCCCTTTGTCTCGTGATTGCTTCAGAACTACGGTATATTAAAGCTTACGAGAAAGATTACAAACTAAATGTTAAATTAGAAATCGGCAGCACACACTCTTGCAGAGGAAACAAAGTTCGAATCACGAAGCACACACAGCCTTAGTGTCAATGTCAATGGAATACCTGGTGGTCTCCGTCCGTTCGCCGGAATCCGCAGGGCGCCAGATAATCTACGACGATAACCTTACAGAGACGCAGCTGCGTCCCTTTCACGCTACGCTATCGCGTCGCGTCGCCTCATGTCGCGTCACGTCATGTCACGTCACGTCACTTCACGTCGTGTCACATCACGGCCGCGGAACAGGAAAAATCCCGTGGGCGTCGCGCGATACTCATGAAGATATGTTGGAGCTTCCGCCTCGGGTTACGCGTTTAGGATTGAACCTCCTTGGGATAGAACCGGCTAGAGATCCTCACGTAAGGGATTGGACATCGTTTAGACAACTGTGTTCGTTTCTGCCTGATCCGCCATATTTTTCAGGACCCACTTAAGATAGAATGAGATGCGTGGATATCTCATTTTACCTTAATAGGATATCAGATACTGAAAAATATGCTAGATCAAAGGTAGGGTGTCTAATTTCTTACTTGAGGATCTCTAGAACCGACTGTGCCCCTACGCCGCCACGAGACTGTCAACCGACGGCCAGGATGGCACGTGTCACGTGTTCTGGATGTGCAAGTAGACGTCTTCTGGCTGACTGAGGAGGTGGTGTATCTGCTGCATGGTGCAGAGCGGACAGACCTCCTCCTCGGTGCCGTCGGCGACGAGCCTCTTGGCGGCGCCGGGCGCCCTTCTGCTGTAATCGATGATGTACGAGTAACCGTCAGAATCGATCGAGCTCGATCTCAAAGTCATCGATCGCAACAGCCGCCTGCTGTTGATGGGAGGATTCGCGATCTCTGTACGACTGTATCTCGTGGATTCTAGATCCGAGTCTTTGAAATCTATATAGGAATAACCCTCGGAGTCTACCGAGAGCCGCCTGCGGTCTTCCTCTCGGACCGTGAGCCTCGGTACCGCAACGAGGCTCGCCGACCCGTTTGGGCTCGACGGCGTTCGAGCGGGAGAGGCGCGCAGTCCAGGTCGATGGGTGGGAGTGATGGGGATACCGGAATCACGGGGTCTCGCGGTAACTCGCGGTAACTCGCGGTCGGCCGAATAGCCATCGGCGGTCAAGCTGACATCGAGGTTTCGACACGATGGAAATTCTCCGCGGGAAAGCATAGGTGAGGGTGGAGTAGGAGGTGAGGGAGGCCGCTGGCTCGTGATCAAGGCGTTCTGCGTAGCTAGCAGCAGGTGGCTGTCTCGCAGGAGGTTGCTTTCGTTCCGTAATAATAATGGACTATTCGCGCCAGTACCGCCCGGAAGTCGAGCAGCGGACGACTGGGCGGTGGCGGTGATCGACAGGGGTACCCCCTGCGACTTGGCTAAAAGGGCGCGCGGCGTCCGGTAGCCGCCCAGGACCGCCCGCGACGGCTTGTCCTGGACACGTAGTATCGACCTGGGGTCGCGATAGTCGAGATAGTCGAGATGATGCGGCTGCGGCGGCGGTCTCGTTTCCCTGCGTGCAGGTAGCAGCGGTGGTTCGCGTGGCAGCGGGGTGACCCGCGGGTGGGCTTCGGAATTTCGTACCTCGATCGTCGGCGCCTGGCCGTGACTCGTCGGCAGGTGATTGTGCAGCTGCGAATGCGACACCGCATGATCGCGCCCGCTGCGCTCTTACACGGCAGCAGGTTTTGCACTTTCCGCTTGTGCCTGCAACAGAAAAGGAACAATGATATTAGACAACGATCTTATTAAAGAATATAAAAGGAATACAAAAGTCTTATTAAAGAGCAAAAAGTTGTACGAGATTGGTGAAAATCAAAATTCGTTACACCATTGTGATATTTATGTCCGTTTCTACCAATATAGATTAATCTTAATCTCGTATCAACTTAGTCTTCATTTTTTTCTAATTCTTAGAATTAAAAAAGGACAAAGAGCGAATTGAACCGAGAATTAAAGTTAATCTACGTTAAGAGAAAGTAGAAATGAATATTAGTCATTCTAAATTTGAATTTTCTTATTCTCAAAATAATAATGAATCTGTTTCTGCACGATTAAGCTGGATAATGGATATAAATGAAACTTTACGTTTTATAAGAGGATAATGGAAGGAATTTTCTTTAGAATATCCTCTTCCTTTCGCATAACTCTTGCAAATTCATAGACACGCGTACGTTAAATTCGGTCAGTCGGGACGATTCTGTGGATATGTTGCTTCTGGTTTCATTCGAAACACCATCTCGGAAAACTTCCAGCAAATTCCTCAAGTTGGACGAGGATGTTGATATTCTACTTTGCTCTCATCTCCCACTCTCCCATTTCTCTTCTCCCCGCCGTCGACCAGCCTCCGTCGACACACCAGATTAGTTGGGAGCTCGTTGCAATTGTTTGTACAGGCAGGCGCTTTGCTGTGGGCGCGCTCGAGAGCTTTCCTCGATGTAAACTTTAATGAATCGGGCACTGCGTTTGCCTATCAGCATCGTTTTATATGTATATAGGGTGTCCTGGGATCGTCATATCTTTCACCCTCTGATCATTTTACGACATTTATTGACGTTTTCATCGATAAAAATATTAAATTACTATAAAAATATTATAATATACTATAAAACTATCGGCAATTATTGAATAATTATTGAGCAATTAGATAATAATAAAATTCATCACGTATTAACACCGACATTTTTTTTTGTAATCAGAAGATTAAATGGAAATAATGATATTTTTAGTTTTAAAAGGATTTTATTTAATATATAAAAATATATAAAGATTTAATTTAAATTTAATATTCAATATTAGAGACAGGACATACGATAATTTCAAGATACCCGGTATATCTGCCAGTTCCTCGCTGCATTCATCATCTCCTACGCGAATTAACATATGCTCGACGAGCGCATAATAACGCGGTCGTGATTGCTTCTTGGCCGGTATCTGCGCGATTGTGCAAATACACATCTGTAATACGCGCGTAAATTGGTCCATACTCTCACTTTGAATTAGCGTTGCATCTTGCGCGGAATCTAATTCTGAATTATATTAAATCTAATATATGCAAGTAGCCATATTTGCGCTGTTAAATCAAAACATAAACATCGTGTCTTTTGAAATTCATCTTAAAAAGGTAGCGAAATAAATTTAAAAAATTAGAGAGCAGATAGTCGTGTTGAAGATGTCGAATTTGTCAATCTGATTGCACGCGCAGTTCTAGATTGTTCGTTCTTGTTCTTTATGACTGCATGACATTTTCATCACCACGATAGAGTTTCATTTTTGTATCGATATGCTCCGATATCAATAAACTTATTTTTAACCTGATTCAGTCTTATCATTATTATAGGTAGTTCATCGTTCATAAAGTTTTGAGATAGACCTGGTGTAGTCATCGAGATGGACAGTTTTTTTCATGTATTTTAACATTTCGCACTGTAAGCAAACTATTTCTGGACACGATAAAACAGATTTCAAGAGTGTGGAGGAAAAATAAAAAATATTATACTACTCCTTCGTGTAAATTCTATAATTCAGAGAAAACTGGTGGTCTGCTGAGCGTTAACTGTGAAATTTCGCACGACGCAGAGCCTTGAAGGCGATACATGCACATCGCTGACCTGTCCATCACAGTCACAGTCATCTTCTCCACTAATCGCAGATCGCGCTAGCTAAAGCGTTTAAACTCGGCTCGTCCGACTGTAGGGATTCACTTATCCGAGAGAGGATTCGCGATATAAACGCCGACTCTGACGAGGGTCCCGAGAGTTCTGCCGACCGGAGATAATGATGCCGGAAACATACGGCCGCTGATCTCCGGCCGCTAGAATTCCTCCTTTTTAAAGGGATTTCTTCGTCAACGTACAGTTGACGCCACATAGTCGTAAATCACGAGAGAAATTACGTGTAATTTATTTAATCCTATAAGTTCATCACGGAATATTGCGTTGAGTAATTAAAGAATATTAGTATCCTCCACTGTAACTTTTGGAATACATCAGTAAGTTTTTATATTATAATACTTTTTATATTTAATTTTATTAAGGCACTTTAAAACTCTTAAGAGATACATTAAGAACTGTAACAACAATTTTTTTTTTAAAGATAAAAAATGCTAACTTCACAGAAATTAAACTTTAACCATTTTCAGATTTTCATAGACCACTAAATTAAATATTCAATTTTCTCAGAAAAACAAGGAATTCACAAGAGTTCTGATAAATGAAAATATTTTTTGAAAGTAAAAATATGTGTAATTTTGTGAAATATTTCTTTAGCAGTTAATTATGAGTTATATTACTAACATTGTTTTATAAAATAAAAATTTTCCGTCATAAAATCATATTCTTATATTTATTTTATAAAACTTGTAATTTTTTTTACAATTTTCAAATATATTCTGTGGATAGATTCATTGCTAAATAGAGAATATTACGAAAATAAAATTTCTATTGCGATTTTTCTTTATAATTATATTTTCAAACATGGAGGATTTTCAGTTAGCGATCCTCCGTCTTGCATCTTTCAACGTACACACCGATGGTATCTGCCTGTATATGTTCATGTATATTCAAAGACCAGGGCGTCGCTCGGCTCGCAAAGTAGTTTACCCTTCAAGTTTTAATTATCTAATTAACTCCGTCAGTTCGATAATATTTGCCCGTGTAATTAAACCACAAGCTAAGGTTAACAACTCCCACTGCACTTTCAGCAGTAGGTCGAGATGAAGTTGAGAAAAAGGAGAGATCCGCGTCTTTTAAATCGAAAAGGGAACAAAGAGCGAAACGATACGAGGGAAAGGTAGGTGTAAATACTGATCTATTATCAGATCGTTGAATATGAATTCCGCTTCGTAACTGTACTCACGTATAAAGTTTCGACTTTAGGGGCATTGTGTAAATATTCGCGGACAACTTAAAAGTAGATTTGTAGTATTACGTTTGCATACAAATGTGCACATTATTCGATAGCAGACGTGATACTTCTTAGAAATGGCGAAAATTTGATTTCTCGAAGCACTTGCTATACACCTCACTAAATTCTCAAATCAGATATAAATCAAATTTAAGTGTTCTGTTGGAGCGGAACTACACCCTTCTGATTTTACTGTTTTACATCACTGTCGATATCGCATTTGCGTCTGCAACGTCAATTCTCTCCTCTGTGCTTCGTCATCGTAAAGATTTTTCATTACACTCACAACTGTTCGCCGCGCCCTATTCCATTTCCTAATAGATTTTATTTAGTCATGATGATACGGGGAACAGCAATGGTCGTCGAAGTGCGACGAAGATTGAAAAAAAGCTCGGGTGGTAACGCAGGAAACGATTCAAGCCATGTTCACGTCCTTATCGATTTCCAAAAGTATACTGAAGGAATTAAACTAATTTCTCGAATGAATTAAAGGCGCAAAAGAAATCCCGAGAAGAAAAATTGGAAGAAAGTTTAAGTTACTAACTTCATAAAAATATTACTTCTTCAGAAGTATTTTTCTTATTTAAAAAGATTTCGAGAAAATTGTAAATGTTCGCATTCCTACGAGAAAGTTCTTTATATATATATATAATTTTTTTTTTACTTCAATTTGCTTAACGTGCGACTGCACGATACGACGGGTTTCCGTTATAAAAGTGGCCTAAGTCTGCAAGATACGGGATAACGTAGACGGCGTGTGCGATGCAGTAGTCCTCGGGATCTTCCTCGAGCGGGTGGAGTCGAGGGAGCACCAAAGTGAATTCACTCGATGCTAAGCGCTGAATAGGTCATTTAAGTCGAGCTTTTAACTCGGACTAATTAACTACCATTCCCCATCCGCGCTCTCCGTCGCTCGTTCGTGACATTTCTCCCTGTTTCCTCTGACTTTTCCGGCTCACACATATCTTTGTGTGGCATAGATAAGGGACGGTGCATCGATCTGCCAGTCATCCGAATGCGCTTTTGATACATCATTGGTGCGAGAATAATACGAGTGATAGAACGTCGATAATCGGTAAAAGTAAATAAAGTGTTAAATATGAACACGTGTTAACTTTATTAGTTACTGATCTTGAAATTCATTCATTTTTATTATATTGATGCATTGTTATATTTTTGTGAAATATGAATATATATCTTATTTTGTTAGGATTTATTTCCTATTCATTATTTTTATCATTTGCTTTTAATAATAGGTATCTATTTTAATTACATTTGTTATTCTATATTTTTATAAAAGACTTATAATCTATTCTATTAAATTTTATTATATACGAGGGTAAATCGAACATAAACGGGAAACTTTTATTATTTATTGGACGAAAATAAAAATATAAAGAAAACAAATTATTTTTTTACATAGTTCCCTGCTACATTAATTTAGTTTTGCGCACGAATTTCTCTATACTGGCATCGTCTTCGAATTCTCCCAATTCTTTTAGTGGACCAAACAAATGATAATGGCAGACATTTGAGACAAATCTTTCCATGTGATTATCATTTATTTGGGTCGCTGAAAGAAGAATTGTGCGCAGTTAACTGCATACACAATCTACTACTTTTTATGAAAATGCGATCGCCAAACTCCTTATCCGCTGGCAAAAATGTAGCAGGGAATTTATATTCTTTATATTTTTATTCTCGTTCAATAGATGATAAAAAAATATGCCGTATATATTTGATTTACTCTCGTATTTGAGTATATGACTTTTTATAACAATAATTTGACAACATGAAAATTC